CTCCCAAACCTTCTGCCTGGAAGGCGGCAAAGGGTTTGGAAAAGCTGCAAACCTTCTTTGCACTTCTTGCTTGAGTCGTTTGAAAGTTTCTTGCTGCGACTCTTCTTTGCCCTGCAAACCCTAAACCCTAAACCCTAAACCCTAAACCCTAAACCCTAGGGTGCAGCCTGCGCCGGCTCGCTGCACCGCCGCAGCTGCTGCTGTAAACCCTAGGCTGCTTCTGAGAGGGCTTGGCTCTCTGCCAGCCTTTAGCGCCTAGCGCTTGGGGTTTAGGGTTTAGGGTTTAGGGTTTAGGGTTTAGGGTTTAGGGTTTGCCTTTCGTTTGTTGCTTTGTTCTGCAGCAAGTTCGAAATCAATTGCTGCTTTTGCTTCTTGAAATTCTTCCAACAGTTTTAAAACGTCATCCGCTTCCGTGTAGAGCGAGTCGTCGTCGGCGTCTTGCCCTGGCCACCCAAACCCTAAACCCTAAACCCTAAACCCTAAACCCTAAACCCTAGACCCTAAACCCTAGGCGCAGGGTTCTGGACCCTAAACCCTTGAAAGCTGGCGGCGGGCCAGCGGGGCTGCTGCCGCAAGTCCTCGTTTTCCGGCTGCGGAGAGAGCCCGTGCAGGGTTTAGGGTTTAGGGTTTAGGGTTTAGGGTTTAGGGTTTAGGGTTTAGGGTTTGGACCTTTGTAGAAAAGGTCAATGAGAAGGACTAAGTCCTTTTTCGTTTCCACTCCAATTATTTCCAACAAATGCAAAATCTGCAAAAAACACTTTTGCTCTTCTGTGAGGAATTCAGGAAGGTCGCGGTGCTGCAGACACACACAATTAGGGTTTAGGGTTTAGGGTTTAGGGTTTAGGGTTTAGGGTTTAGGGTTTGGGGTTTAGGGTTTGTGCGGTGCGTTCTGCAAAGACTGGTGCAGCGCCTACGCGCTACTGCCTAATAAGCGTTGTGTAGGGTGTAGGGTTTAGGGTTTAGGGTTTAGGGTTTAGGGTTTGGGGTGCAGGCAGGTGGCTGCATCCCAAACCCCAAACCCTAAACCCTAAACCCTAAAATTTTAACCCTAACCCTAAACCCCAAAACCCAAAGCTGCATCCTATGCCCTAACCCCCAAACCGTAAACCCTAAGCCGTAACTCCCAAACCCCAAACCCCAAACCCCAAACCCCAAACCCCAAACCCCAAACCCCAAACCCCAAACCCTAAACCCTAAACCCTAAACCCTAAACCCTAAACCCTAAAGCCTGACGTTGGCGTCGAGAAGGAAGCCGCAGGTTTGTCGGATGAGCAGCAGCGCCTTTTTGACTTTGATTTGGGAAAAGATGAATTCGGTGGAAGTGCTGCTGCTGGTGTTTGGGTTGCTGCTGCTGCTGCTGCTGTTGCGCTGCTGCTGCTGCTGCAGCAGCAGCAAACTCTCCGAAGTCTTCCTGCTGCTGCTGCCCTTCGCCCCGCTGCTGCTGCTCATTCTTTCTTTCAAAACCTCCGAACTTTCTTCCACTTCTTCTTTTGGAATTAAATATTTATAATTCAAAACCTCTTCGTGAATTGCCGCGTCCGCCGCAGCCACGGCTCCCGTCAGCTCGCTTATCTGCGCGCAAACCCTTTTTTAGGGTTTAGGGTTTAGGGTTTAGGGGTAGGCTTGCGGGCGCGGCTTGGGGCTGCGGAACGGGGGCTTGGGGTTTAGGCTGGGGGCGTGCGTCGCGCAACCACTCTTTAGGGTTTAGGGCTTAGGGTTTAGGGCTTAGGGTTTAGGGTTTAGGGTTTAGGGTTTAGGGTTTAGGGTTTAGGCTGAAGCCTGTGGGCCGCGGGCGTGCGTGAGGGCAGTCCACGGCGCAGGGCCCGGCGCTTAGGGTTTAGGGTTTAGGGTTTAGGGTTTAGGGTTTAGGGTTTAGGGTTTAGGGTTTGGACTTCGGCTTCGCTGTGTTCCAAAAGTCTTTTGTAAAGTTTGAAATAGTTTTTTTGTTTTCCCAAAAAGGCTTTTTGTAAACCCTCGTGTTGGGCCCAGAGCCTGCGGCAGTCCGCGCTGGCCTGCAGGTTTTCCAGCCTGAACCCAAACCCTAAACCCTAAACCCTAAACCCTAAACCCTAAACCCTAAACGCTAAACCGTAGGCCCTAGCTGCTAGCGCCCGCGGCGCGGCTCGCCTGGATTCTGGGAGAAAGCCAAAGGGGTTTTGCATCTCAAGCCAGCAGGCCGCAGGCCTAGGGTTTAGGGTTTAGGGTTTAGGGTTTAGGGTTTAGGGTTTAGGGTTTAGGGTTTAGGGGAGGAATTCCCTGGGTTTACAGACGAGGGTTTCGAGCCGCGTCGCCGCCACCCCCACCCACCCAGCGCGCAGCGCCCACCCCGTAGCGCTCAGGGTTTAGGGTTTAGGGTTTAGGGTTTAGGGTTTAGGGTTTAGGGTTTGCGTAATACAGGTATTTTTTGCGGAGAGTTCGGAACTTGGCAGCAATGGAAGTCAAACCCTCGCGGGAAAGATTTAATTTGTTTTTTTGTTTCGAAAGAAGAAAAGAATTTGTTTTATTTCTTTCGAGCAGCAGCAAAACGTTGAACTGCAGCTTTTGCTGCCGCAGCTGACACGCAGCCACCAAACCCTCCAGCTGCAGCTCCAGCTCCTGCGCGCAAAACCCTAAACCCTAAACCCTAAACCCTAAACCCTAAACCACACGGGGTGGGTGCTGCGCGCGGGGTGGGTGCGGGGGGGCGGCGACGCGGCTCGAAACCCTCCTCTGTAAACCCCGGGAGTTCCTCCCCTAAACCCTAAACCCTAAACCCTAAACCCTAAACCCTAAACCCTAAACCCTGGGCCTCGAGCGCGCGCTCGGGGCTGCCGGCGCGGGCCTAAACCCTAAACCCTCCACGCTAAGCCCGAGGGTCAAACGCGGGACCGCGCTTCGTCCTAAACCCTAAACCCCAAACCCTAAACCCTAAACCCTAAACCCTAAAACCTAGGCAGCTTTTGGAGCCCCAAAGAGCAAAGGGAAGAAACGGAAAACCACAAACGCGTAGGCCCTATCTGGCAACAGCTCCGCCCGCAACTCCGCGGTTTAGGGTTTAGGGTTTAGGGTTTAGGGTTTAGGGTTTAGGGTTTAGGGTTTAGGGTTTAGGGTTTGTACCTCCAAGTGCTGCCGCTGCTGGGCCTTTATGTCGGAAGCTGCTTGCAGACTTTCTATTCTTTCTTTTTCAAGTTGCGCTTTTCCCGCTTTTCTCCTTTCTTCTCTTTGCTCCAGAATCTCGTGCTCCTCCTGAAATTAGGGTTTAGGGTTTAGGGTTTAGGGTTTAGGGTTTAGGGTTTGGGGTTTAGGCTTGGGGGGATTGGGATTCAGGGGGCAGAGGGGAGGGTTTGGGGTTTAGGTTTTGCAAAGCGCGAGGCTACAAAGAAGCATAATAGGCCTGCGGCCTAGGGTTTAGGAATTAGGGTTTAGGGTTTAGGGTTTAGGGTTTAGGGTTTGGGGTTTGAGCTCGCCATGTTTTTCCTTTTTTCAAACAACTTGTCGATTTCTACTTTAAATGCGTCCTGTGGTGACAAAAAAACCTCCCCTTAACATTTGAAGAACAGCCATTAGGGTTTAGGGTTTAGGGTTTAGGGTTTAGGGTTTAGGGTTTGAGTTCTTTACCAGTACTTGTTTCCTCTGCTGGAGCATCACATGTTCAAGCCGCAGTAGCTCACCTGCAGACGGCTGAAAACCCTAAATCCCCAAACCTAAACCCTAAACCCTAAACCCTAAACCCTAAACCCTAAACCCTAAACCCTCCTAAACCCTAAACCCTAATCCCTGAAATAATCAAAACGTGGCGTTTGAATCTGCGAGTTGGCTTGACAGTTTGCTTCGTAGGTTAAAAGCTATAAAACAACAATTTGGAGTTTACAGCTTCGAGTCTTAGGCCTAGGGTTTAGGGTTTAGGGTTTAGGGTTTAGGGTTTAGGGTTTAGGGTTTAGGGTTTAGGGTTTAGGGTTTAGGGTTTACTGTCTGCCTGCACCCTCAGAGCCTCGTATTCTGCATTCATGAGAGCGACTGTATCGGCAAGTTCTTCCTTTTGGTCGCTGATGCCTTCGAAAACCACCAAAAACCCTAAACCCTAAACCCTAAACCCTAAACCCTAAACCCTAAACCCTAAACCCTAAACCCTAAACTCCAAACGCTAGTTTCTACGGGTGGACTACGGCGGAAGCTAAACAGCCAGGGCGTAGGCTGCGCCTTAAACCCCCGTACCCACGGTTTAGGGTTTAGGGTTTAGGGTTTAGGGTTTAGGGTTTGGGAAGTTGCCTTTGGCCTTCATTTCGTCTTCGTGCTGCTGCTGCTGCCGGCGGTTTTTGAAGGAGGTTTTCAAAACCTCGATCTTTTCTTGAAATTCATTTTTCATTTTATTTAACTTTTCAAAACTAATATTTATTTCTGCTTCGATTGCTGCTGCTGCTGCTGCTGCTGCTGCTGCTGCTGCTGCTTCTTCCGCGTCGCAGCCCTTCGGTGCTTCCGCGCTGCTCGCAACAGCCGGCCCTGATCCGCAAACCCTAAACCCTAAACCCTAAACCCTAAACCCTAAACCCTAAACCCTAAACCCTAGGCGCAGTCCGCACTATCAGACGCCACTTGGGTTGATAGAGTTTCTAGTTTTAAGAAATAAATTCAGGAAAAGGGTTTATTCTAAAGCCAGGGATCCAGTTTTGAGGGTTTAGGGTTTAGGGCTTAGGGTTTAGTCTGAGGGTTTAGGGTTTAGGGTTTAGTGTGAGGCTCTAGGGTTTGAGGCGTAGCGTGAGAGTTCAGGTTTTAGCCTGAGAGCTAGAGCTTTACTGCGAGGGTTTAGGGTTTATCGTGAGGGTTTAGGCTTGAGGCTCAAGGGTTTAGGGTTTACGTTTGAGCGTTGAGGGTTTAGCTTGAACGTTTAGGGTTTAGGCTTGTACGAGGGTTTAGCGCTTCGTTTGAGGGTTTAGTGTTTAGGGTTTAGGGTTTAGGCTTGTAGGAGGGTTTAGCGCTTCGTTTGAGGGTTTAGGGTTTAGGGTTTAGGGTTTAGGGTTTGGGCTCGTGTAAAGTTTAAGGTTCCGTCAGAGGGTTTAGGTTTTGGGCTTGTACGAGGGTTTCGGGTTTCGTTTGAGGGTTTAGGGTTTGGGCTCGTCTGAGGGTTTAGGGTTTTGGCTCGTGCGAGGCTTAGGGTTTTGCTTGAGGGTTTAGGGTTTAGGGTTTAGGGTTTAGGGTTTAGGGTTTGCCTCCATCTTTGGCCTCTTGAATTCTGCGTTGAGCTCTTTTTCTTCTTTCCAAAATTCTTTGAAGTTTTTCTTTATTTGGATGCGAAGAAAAATTATTTAAATGCAAATTAGTTTCGGATTCAAGTAAGATTTTAGTTTCATCATCGTCTTCTTCTGCTTCTGCTGCTGCTGCTGCTGCTGCTGCTGCTGCTGTGTCTTCTGCTGCTGCTGCTGCTGCTGTGTCTTCTGCTGCTGCTGCTGCCGGTGTGCCTTCTGCTGCTGCTGCTGCTGCCGCTGGTTCTGCTGATGCCGCTTTTGCTGCTGGCGCTGCTGCTGCTGCTGCTGCTGCAGCTGCTGCTGCGGCTTCCGAACCTCCATCTACTGCTGCTGCTGCTGCTGCTGCTGCTGCTGCTGCCGCTGGCGCTTCCGCTGCTGCTGCTGCTGCTGCTGCTGCCGCTGGCGCTTCCGCTGCTGCTGCTGCTGCTGCTGCCGGTGGCGCTTCCGCTGCTGCTGCTGCTGCTGCTGCTGAGGCTGCTTCCTGTGGCTGCATTTTGGGTAGTTGGAGCGGTTCAACTTGGGGTGTACGTACACCTGGGCCTCTAGAACCTTTGTTTGCAGAAATATTCCCATTTATTTCATTTCAATTAAATAAATATGAATATTGACTTCATTGCGCAGAGCTGGCGAAGTTTTGTAGAAACTTCGTGAGGTGTACGTACAGCTGGCGCGGCTGCTGCGGTGACTCGCTGGCTGCAAAACAAATTAACTCGCGAGGAAGAAAAGAGGAAAAAAAGAGAAAAACTGGAAAAACTTCTTTTGAATTTAAATTGAATTGGATTTGATTTGTTGCAGAAAGTAATTAAGCGGCACAGAGTCGAAACGAACTTGAATTGCCTGCTGCTCGCAGACAGCGCCTCGGGGCTTGCTGCTGTGCACCGGGGTAACCTGCGGCGGAAAGGAAGGAAAGCTGCGGAAAAAACTGTTGAAAGTTTTCGAAAAGAAGTTTGTTTTGAAGTTAAAAGAAAATGAAAAGAAAGAAAATCAATTTAGGCCGCGAAATCCACAAGTTCCCACCCGGATCCGCGGCTCCGAGCAAGGAAATCGAGATCCTGGAAAGAACGCTGCGGCGGCCGTCCGAGTTTCCGGAAAAATTCAGGAAATTCGGAAAACTTGAATTGAAATTAATTTCCCAACAAAGATCTGTTTTATTTCCTCCGCAAAACCTCAAAAAAACGAAACTGAAACTTCGAAAGCTGCGCCGGCGCAGCGGCCGATCTTCCGGAGTGTATCTACACCTCAGAGATCTTCGAAACGGCAACGCCCGCTGTCTCAAGAAAACCCTTTAAAAGCAAATTTTGAGCAAATTGAAGAATTTTTACTTTTAGTTTTAAACTTTTATTGTTTTTTACGGACTTGAAAGTCTAAAATGGACAACTGGGGCCCCCTTTGTCGGCCGTGGGGCCCCTCCGCCGGGCTGCTCGCCAGTTCTACTGGCGATCCGCCGATTTTCTCTTTTCCCACGGGGAATTTTTGCGGAATAAAAATTCAAAAGTTCGTTTTGAAACAGAATAAAACTTTAAAAGTTCTTTTAAAATAACTTTTAGCTTTTTCTGGCCTTCCAGCGGCCTCCCGTTGGCTGCTTACCCCGCCCCCCGCCCTCCTCCATTTTGCAAAAAGGCTCGTTCGCCCTAGTTTTTCGCGCTTTTTTTGCATTTTTGGGTTTAAATAGACCAATTTTTTGATTTAAAATCACTTTTAGTGGTTTAGAATCTGTTTTTAGGCTTCGAAGTCGCTTCCGGAGCCCCGCAATGTCCACCTTCGGGACCCTCCTGAGAGTGTCCACCTTCGGGGAGTCCCACGGCGCTGCAGTTGGCTGCAGCATCGAAGGCCTCCCCGCGGGGCTGCCGCTGTGTCTTTGCTGCGTGCAGCAGCAGCTGCAGCGGCGGCGGCCGGGAGCAGCAGCAGCAGGCTGCTGCAGCAGCAGCAGGAGCGAGCCGGACGCAGCAGAAGTGCTCAGCGGGGTGCAGCACGGGCTCACTCTGGGGTCTCCTGTGGCTCTTCTGATTCGCAACAAAGACATTCGCCCCCAAGACTACGACAGCCTCGGCTTTGCTGCTGCTGCTGCTGCTGCTGCACCTGCTGCTGCTGCTGCTGCTGCTGCTGCTGCAGCGGGAGAGCCGGGCGCCGCCGCCGCTGCTGCTGCGGAAGCAGCAGCACAGCCAGCTGCTGCTGCGGACGCAGAGGACAACGCTGCAGCAGGCCCTGCTGCTGCGGAGCCCCCTGCTGCAGCAGCAGCAGCAGCAGCAGCAGCAGCAGCAGCAGCAGCAGCAGGGATCCCGCGGCCGGGGCATGCGGACTGGACTTACTTGCTGAAGTACGGAGTCAGCAGCAGCAGCGGGGGGGGCCGCAGCAGCGCGAGAGAAACAGCAGCAAGAGTAGCAGCAGCAGCAGTTGTGGAGTCTTCTTTGTTGCGGAGAGTTTGTGGGGTTTCTGTTGCTGCTTTCGTGAGTTCTTTGGGCCCCGTTGCTGTTCCTGCTGCTGCGCTGCAGCAGCTGCTGCTGCAGCCTCCTGCTGCTGCTGCTGTCGAAGCAGCAGGAAGGGTTTTGTTCGACTTGCAAAAAAACCTCCTTTGCTGCAGCAGCGGCTGCTGCTTCCCCGGTGTACGTACACCTGCGCTGCTGCGCCTCCGCCAGCTGCTGCAGCAGCCCCAGCAGCAGCAGCAGCAGCAGCAGCAGCAGCAGCAGCAGCAGCAGCAGCAGCAGCAAGGGGAAGTGAAGGAAAATGAAGTTAAAAATGAAAAAACAGAAAATCCCAATTCGGAGAATCAGCTGTACGTACACACCAGATGCCCACACGTCCCCACTGCAGTCCAAATGGCCCGACTCCTCCTCGAGGTAAACCCTAAACCCTAAACCCTAAACCCTAAACCCTAAACCCTAGAAACTAACCCTAGATCCTAACCCTAGACTCTGAACAGTAGAGCCTGACCCGTAGACCCTTGGCCCTCGGCCCTAAACCCTAAACCCTAATCCCTGAACACTAAACCCTAGACGCTGAACCCTAGACCCTAAACCCTAAACCCTAAACCCTTAATTTAAATAAATTTAAATCGATTTAAATTAATTTAAGTTAATTTATTAATTTAAATTAATTTAAATTTTCTTTTTTTGTTTTGCTGCAGGTCAAAGCAGCAGGAGATTCTGTGGGAGGCGCCGTTTCCTGCGTCATTCAAAACCCTCCCCAAGGCCTTGGTAGGGTTTAGGGTTTAGGGTTTAGGGTTTGGAGTTTAGGGTTTAGGGTTTGGGGTTTAGGGTTTAGGGTTTGGGGTTTAGGGTTTAGCAGAGCGGCCCAGAAGCCGCGCACAGGGCTGCAGCACAGAGCTGGCTCTGGGCACGGGGACTTGCAAACCTCCTAGGGTTTAGGGTTTAGGGTTTAGGGTTTAGGGTTTAGGGTTTAGGGTCTAGGGTTTAGGGTTTTGGTGCAGGAGAGCCTGTGTTTGATAAGTTGCCAGCTTTGCTGGCGCATGCGATGTTTTCCATTCCTGCAGTCAAGGCTTTCGAAGTAAACCCTAAACCCTAAACCCTAACCCTAAACCCTAAACCCTAAACCCTAAACCACAAAATCCAACCAAGAATTAAGTAAACCCTAAACCCTAAACCCTCGGCGTTTACCACAGAGGCTCGTAGGGCGTTTGGAATATTTTTCACTATTTTTCTTTTTCTTGATTTAATTAATTTAATTAATTTAATTAATTTTAATTTAATTTAATTTGACTTAATTTAATATTTAATATTTAATTTAATTCTTTTTAATTTAATTTCAGGATTTATTTTGTTTTATATTCCCCCCTTCTGCCCATTCCGTCTTCTTGCTCTTCTCAATTGCTCTAGGGTTTAGGGTTTAGGGTTTAGGGTTTAGCTGTTCCTCCGTTTCATTTCTTCATTTTCTTTCTCGTTTCTGTCTAGGGTTTAGGGTTTAGGGTTTAGTTTCATTTATTCCTTTTGTTTTATTTCCTTTTTATCATTTATTATTCTTTTTATTTTCCTTTTATTTTTATTTTTACTTTTTCTTTTTTTGTTTGCCCGCAGTTGCTTCTTCAGTTTGTTTTCTTTCAATTACTTTTCTTTTTTCATTATTATCATTATTATTATTATTATTATTATTATTATTATTATTGCAACATCATTTTATTATTATTATTATTACTATTATTATTTCATTTTTTAAAATTAGTTTATTTATTTATTTAAATTCTTTTGGTTTTATTTTTGCAGATGGGCGAGGGATTTGCAGCAACAGAAGCCACAGGGCTGCAGCACAACGACTGCTTCGAGAGCTGCAGCAGCAGCAGCTGCAGCAGCAGCAGCAGCAGCAGCGACAGCAGCAGCAGCAGCAGCAGCAACGACAGCAGCATAAACAGCAACGACAGCAACAACAACAGCAGCCACAACAGCAGCAACAGCAGCAACCACAACAGCAGCAACTGCAGCAACCACAACAGCAGCAACAGCAGCAGCAGCCACAGCAACAGCAGCAGCAGCAACAGCAGCAGCAGCAACAGCAGCAGCAGCAGCAGCAGCAGCAGCGTTTCGTTTTTGCTGCCTCGGGGCTGCTTCGAGCCTCGCTGCGAACTCCACGAAGTGGAAAATGAAAAAGAAGAAAAAGAAAAAAAAGAATTTTTTTTGAAAATGAAAAAACTCCAAAAAAAAGCAAAAAATATAAAACCCAAAACTAACCACGCAGGAGGCACCCTGGGGGGAATCACCACTGGTAAATAAATAAATAAATAAATAAATAAATAAATAAATAAATAAATAAATAAATAAATAATAAAT